TTGGTCTAAAGAGTTTAGACAGTACTTCCCTCGCTGCCGGAAACGTGACGACGGCATGCCTATTAAGTTTTTTTTTCATCAACATTTTTGCAATGACACGTATATCAGTTTGGACAGATGTAGTGTAATGCTAAAAAAAATAGGGCTAGGCGGTTGAAATTTATGCGCTGCGTATGGACCACAGCAGACCAGTGGCTCGCAACCGACGTTACGCATCGCGACGAAAATTATGAGAAAACTAACGTTAACTGAACGTCAGTTCATGATTTTAAAAACCATATTCACGATATAATAATAATATTTTTAATAATTTTCGAGTGTCGGTTTCGCTAAAAATAAAACTATTTCTGTAAATTATTAAAAATGATGCGCAATTGGAAAGCGAGAAGCGAGTAAGGCAAGGATGCACCGGCCGCACTTCAGACAAGTAGATAGGATGAATAAATTTCGACTGCCCAGCTTTATTTATAAACAATGACCTCATAGCAAAACGCATCTGTGCGAGATGTTCGACGTCCCGCATGCTGTTGAATGCGGCCAAGGTCATCAAAAAAGGTTATGATTGCAAAAAATTTATTTATAGCACATTATCAACAGGAATACATTACATCGGAAAAATGTCACGTAGACATTTGTCTGATTTTAATGAGTTTATCGCCCCAAAACAGATGACTAAAATTATTCATAAGCCTCTATTGAACAAAATATTCTGAATGTTATTATTATAATTCTTAACTTGTCATTATTTTATTGTTATAAAGATGAGCCTATGCTCGCATTTTCCAGAAAATGGGATGGCTCGTTCTTAATTTGATCAATAATAAATTGACTGATTCATTAATTTTTTTGAGTCACAAATCTAAAAAATATGATTGCAATGATTAAAAGTCTGTTCATATTTTGCACATTTGCGAAATAATTTAATCGGCAAAATTTTGAGATGCCGTAATCAATTTTTACTTCTCGAGCGTAAGCAAAGGAAGTATTTTGTAATCGAGTCCGTCGGCCGACTCTCTACTTTTACATTTTCTCGATCATTCATGACCCCTAGAAGACGAAGAAATAGGTCTCCCGTTTCCGTTTGTCTGTTCGTTTGTCCGTCTGTGCGTCTGTCCGTCTGTCCGTCTGTCTGCCGTCCCGGATTTTTATTAGACAGATAATCTCCGAAAGTACTGGGCCGATTGTTGTCAAATTTTGTATTTATATTAGGTGTATATCATGTAGATGGTAAAACGCTAACCAAAATTTGTCTAATCATCGCTACCACTAATGTGATGACGTCACTTCAAAATTGTACATAGTAAATGAGTATGCGAGCCAAGTAGAACAGCAAAGCAGACACTTCGAGAAACCAAAATCTGGCGACACTCTACAAAAGAAAAGTAATTACCCAGGATACTCTGACATAAATATATAGATGGGTTCTAACAGGAAAACGTGGACGAACGAAACTGTCTGGCAACGAGATTTAACCGCAACTTAGCACGAGGAGGACTTCCTATTGACGCAAGTGCACATTGGAACATCACTCGGAAGATGGACGTCAACGTCACTTTCTGAGTGAAAGACTTTGGCAGGGATAATCTATTTAGCTATATAGAGTGTGAGCATAAGAGAACACGAGATTGGTTAGGGTTTATTATTAGGGGGTACAATTGGAGGATCCTATCACTCACCAAGGAAACCATTGATAATTGTCTAAGGGCCACTGAGGCTTCTAGAAACCCAGAATCTAGACAACACCATTGTCTCAGAAGTATACAAATTGTTACGTAAGTGTCAGCTTTAAAAGACTACCTAAGTAATAAACTCGTTCTGGCCTTTGTACATATAAATTCCAAGTTTACTTGATACTGAACATAACAATTAGGAGAAAAAAATTGGTCGAAGGATATTTCTACAGAACTTCTCTCGCCCCTGAAGTAAAATAAAACAAATCTTTTTGTAAAAATTATGTATACAATTTGATTTTGCGAATTTTATTTTTTATGAGAATCCTTGTGACTTAAAATAATGATATGTATGCAATGTCAAGGTAAATGTAAAGAAGCGTGCTGTGCGGACGTTTCATGAGTTTTCTCTCAATGAAATTTTGTGATGATGTCATCAACGTTTTTGTAAGGAAAGTGCAAACTGAAGAAGCGGAAAACGTTTATTCAAAAGAATTTTTAGAAGAATTTGAAGTCGGCTAGAGAATATTTTATGAAATATTATGTAGTGAGCCGTTTCGAACCAAATTTCCGCGCGCCAAACTTTTGGTAAGAAAAGGGATAGAAATGGAAAGAAACGAAAACCACTAAGAGGGAGGTGCCCAGAAGGGTCGTGTTGGAGAAGGGCATAGACAAACTCTCTTGCTTTGTCTATGGAGAAGGGTGAGTCGCAGCCATATTGACTTCGTCTTTCTTTCGAGTAAGACGTCAAGTTGGTGCTCTCTGCGTTTTCCAAGTGTCTGTGCGTTTTTGTTTCCGTTTTCAGCGGTGATTCCTTCCAACGGAGTTCCATCCCCCTGACGAACCAGCGAACGTAAGATTTCTCTGCTCCGTTTCTAACAGAGAGAGGCCTTATTTCGGTGGTGAACACGTGTTTGATTTGGAGATCCAAGAGGTATGTTTTCCACGTGATTCCGTGTGTGCTGATGGAAGAAGCGGCGTTGCTTCTCGATGGTTACGGAGTAGGTGAGACCCGGGAACCACACATGTGAGCTTCGCGTGTGTCTCACATACGCGAACGGACGCTACAAAAATGGCGGCACATTCCGGATGACGCCATGGCCGTTAATTTTCATACTAACCTTTTCAACATAATTTCAACCCGCTTTAGTAGGGCTTTTCAGGGAATTACGTTAGCTAGGGTAGTTTTATTTAGCGAATGTTATACGGAAAGTTGGATGGCAATTTTCGAGTTATTATTTTGCGTTGCATAATTTCAGCACGTGTGAGTAAAGTAAATTCAAACGTAATCTGAATAATCTGAACAAGTGAATCTTTACCAAAAATAACGCTGAGAACGGCATTAGAAAATTAATAATATCATAGTCTGGGGGACGGGGGATTTTTCTTTGTGTTAGTAACATCGATTAATTAGGCACATTAATTTGACTGACATTATAATATCTAAGGTATTTCAATGGCTTTTCCTCGATTTATTAATCGTTTGTTGTAAACTCTAATTCTGGAAAATTTCATGTAAGTTTTTCAAATATTCAACCGTTAAAAATAGAAAGAGAAAGTGTTAGGGTGGGGGTACGGGATGTTGACTGGGGAATTTCAAGGGCGTCCTTTGTGAGCTTTTGTATTAGTCATCGGGGATTTGTTGTTGACCAAAAGCTTTGTCGATGAATTTAAAAATGAATATCATTGAAAGAAAGACATAATTCAAATCGAATGTGCACCCATGGTTGCCTATATTTTATTTATTTTGCATATTTTATGTGTCGTATTTTTATGTGTTGTTTTGTTTTTTTTGGTTTGTTTAATTCGGTAAACAACGTAACTTTGCCCAGATCATTTTAATGCAGTCGTAACTTCTTTGTTTAATGTCAGATAAATATTTCAATAAAATCCATTGCTTCGTTATTTTCTTTGATAAGAATCAGCGACGTAAATGTAGCTTAATTTAATAAAATCATTGCCAAAATGTGAACAATTTAATCTTTTTCAAAATTCTTGTTCTTTAAAGTTATTGATAAAAACATGAATAATTCCTCATTTCATTTTCCTTGTTGTATAAGATTGTTGATCACACGTGCATAATTTAATCTCATTTAAATTCCTTTGTTATTTAAAACAAGTGTTGATGGAGTGTGGCCAATTAAATTTTGCTTATTGCTTGTCTGAAATCCGAATACTCATTTTGATAACGCTAGTTAACCCGGGGGTCGTGTGGTGTGGACGCGGTGGCGTCGGCGTCTCCGTGCGAGTGTTTACGGGTCTTGCTAGACTTCCGGCCCTAGCGGACTCGGAGTTTACACAGCTACCTTATTTGCGGGAAACAGGAAGGTCAACCTATATCATGCGGGTGCGTAAGACCACGCGCGTGAAGTGGTGAGGTAGGACTATGTGGACCTCCACGGGGAGTGTGGCCGTCACCCTGCACCCGCTGTGCGCCCCCATCTTGTTTGTAGAGGCCACACTACCGTAATATCTGGGACGTTGCCATCCATTTACTTTCTGAGAATTCCGCGACTTTTTTTATTTTGTTTCTTGTTGTACTTGTAAGGTTGTTAATATTTATTCTATGTTCTCAGGTTCGAGTGAAAATAAAGGTTTTTTTTTCTCTGAGGAATAAATTCTTTAAGCTCTTCTGGGGCCCTTGGCCAAGGTCTCTTGAGCTCTTATTGGATTTATTTTTCATAGTTTTTTTTTTCCAAATATAAGTTTTTTAAATCCGTCACTCTTCCCGCTCCGCAGTGCGCCAATTCGTATGAACGAACGGCTCCCGCCAGTTTTCAAAACACAATGTAGGGTCCCACTTTTGTAGACGATCACAGCCAAGGCCAAATTTCAAATTTTAGCGGGCTTTTTCAAATTTTGTTCAATGTCAAATAAAAGGCGGGGGGTTTGGGTTATTACAATTATTTTCCCAACTTGAATAAAACTATTGAATATCGGAACTTGTTTGAATAATTAATTAATGTAAATGAATTAATCGTTGTTTAGCAATTTTTGACTGATTTGTGCCATAAAAGTCAATTTATGCCCGCATTTGGGTCAATTCAATCAAAATCGTTGAATTCATTTTCCAAAAATTATGTGAGTATTTAGTATACTATTGCAGCATAAATTTTTGCTACAAGGGAAGTTTTATCTAAATAGCTTTAGTCCAGTTTTTATTATTATCGGTAATCGAAATGGTTAGACTTTTTCATTTTTATGATCCCGCTGATAATTTGATAGTTATAATCAATAACAGAAGTCAACGTTTATGGCAAGCTTTCAGAAACGTTAATGTAATGAATTCAGTAAAGAATACTTTTTACGAGGGGTAGTTCTCTACTTAGGATGTTTACACAGAAAATTACGGTGCACCCAAAACTTTTCAACGCGTTTTCACCTATAATGAAACTTTCAAGAATCATGTGTCTGTTCCCTGTGAGATATTACAAACTCAAAACAATGTATGTAATCAAATGGTCTTGGGAAATCTACTATTCTCATTTATTCGTGATAATACTCTTTGGTACGTAGGTACGTCCAATTATTAAATGTTTAAGTCTAATTAAGATGCTTTTAGCAAGCTGGGCTACGTGGGGTGCCATTAGAGATTTACAAGTCGATTATTTCCATGCTTTTGGTTTCAAAGACACCTTAGATTTTATCATTAATTGTTTCGATGTCGTTGAAGCTATCATAACCTCATTTATTTTCGTACTGACAACACCTTTCAGATATAAACACGTGTATGGTATTATCGATAATTTTAAAACCGTGGATCGTTTGATTCCTCCGATTCTAAACGAAGAAATTTGCAAGATGTCGAAATTTGCGATTTTCATATTGTTAACTTATTTGCTAACCTTGTACATCCTTGACTTGTTTATGTGGAATTTAAACTCCTGGCAAGGTTTAAACAATTACTTTGCTTTCTACGTTTTGTATACTGTTGTGGTGGTACATCAACTACAGTACTGGATTTTTTTGATACTGGCAAAAGCTAAAATGTTAGGTATAGAGAGGTGTCTGAGGAGTCATTTTAAGAAAAGAAGTGTGATGTTAATATTTTTCCTGCGTTTACGACTAATAATATATTTTCAGAAGTAAATCAACATTTTATGTCTTCGGTCACCATAAGCTACAGTATGGTTTTTGAAGCAATTAGTAACATCAACAAATGCTTTAGTTATATAGTTTCTATAATCATTTTAAACTGTTATGCACGTTTGGTTGTATCTCCATATCAGCTTCTTGTGGTTATGAACAGCACAGGAACTAGTTTTCTGAATTATGTCCCCTTGTTGTGGATTTTCTTGCACATTAGCAGACTCATAGTAATCGTAGAAGCTTCTCATAAATTAGAACAAACGGTTAGTTCGAATGTTTAATCTTTATATAAATGTTTTATCATTTTGTAAATAGAATCAGCGTTTGCGAAATTTTGTGGTGGTAATGACATTGTCTCCTATGGAGCAAGATGTGAAACAAAACGTAAGTTTGCCTATTTAGTAATAGAAAGCTGATAGAGTGTTTTAGATTGAACATCTACTTTTTCTAATTAGCCGAAGGAAAATTCGACTGTCATCATATGCACTTACCAAAATTAATAGAGAATTAATTTTTGCTGTAAGCTGTTTCGGACATATTTTATTAACATTGATTTTAGATTTTTAGTTCTATTATTGCCTACTGGATCGTTCTTGTACAACACTTTATAAAAGTTTTGTAAGAAATTTAAAACAACGTGAAGTGGCATACCGCAGATATCAACTAGAAATCAGAATATATTTTTATATATAAAAGTAGAAATAGAAATAACTAAATTTGTCATTTATCCCAAGAATTGTGTAAAAAATTATTTTGAATTTTATACTCTACTCATTAGATTTGGTTGCAATTAATTAGTGTCCCGTTCGCTACAGATCTTTTTTCAGTACAATTAAAACCCATGAAAAAATTATTGCTTGATACGAAAGGGTGTGTCTTATCGACAAATTAATCTACGTTTAGGTATAGGCTAGGACGACAATAATTTCTTTTCCATTTTTCAACATGTTCAGACAAAAAAGTCTACTTAACCCAAGACTTTTCAAGGCGTTTATACCTTCACTAAAGCTGTTTAGAACAATGGGATTATTCCCTATCAACTATTATAAGACTAAAAATACTTACACACTTTATTGGTCATGGAATATTTACGGTTTTAATGTATTTATTTTAATACTTCTCGGTATGTTCGTGGTCAATAGTATCAGTTATAAATTGTTTTTTTTAGCTTCTTGGGCTTCTTGGGGCTTTCTTCATGATATGCAGGTGGCTTCTTTCACATCTTTGGGATTTAGAGGCACTGCTGACTTTGCAATTGCTGCTTTCGATGTTAGCGAAGTCATCACAAGTGCATCCATATTTGTGATTTCAACGCCTTTTAAGTATCAGTATATCGGTATTATTTTTGATAACTTGGAAAAAATTGATAATTTGATATTTCCACTCATCAATGAGAAAATCTGTAGACAGTCTAAATGTATAATTTGTGTATTAGTAATAATCTTCCCTGTTTTTTGCATTCTCGATCTATTTATGTGGGGTAATAACTATTGGACGGGTGCGAATAATTATTTTGCTTTATATGTTCTCTATGCGGTTGTGATAGTGCAAGAACTACAGTATTGGATTATCGTGATAATGACGCAAGCGAGGATTTTGTCGATTGATAACCACTTAAAAGAAATTTTAAATACAAAAAGTTCATGTACTTTTTGTCATTACACGCTTATTGATAATATATTTGCAGAAATCAGTCCCCATAGTATCTCTTCTGTCATAACAAGTTACAGCTGCATGAGTGAACTAATTGATAATATCAACAAATGCTTTAATGGTACTATTACAATGATAATTTTGAGCTGTTACATCCATTTGGTAATATGTCCATATGAGTTGTTCGTAATTCTAACAAATAACGAAGTCCACATTTTCAACTACGTTTACTTTCTGTGGATTTCTTTACATGTTTCAAGACTTCTAGTAGTAGTAGAGGTTGGTCATCGACTAGAGAAAAAAGTGAAATGTATTGTTAGTTAAATCGTTTTATTATTATCAATTTACAGGTTTTAAATTTGAGGAATTTAGTAGCTCGTGTAATGTGTTGTAAGTTGAATCAAGCTGTGAGAAAAGAAGTAAGTTTATTAAAGTTATCATCAGAAATTTCTACGGATGTTTCAGGGTGAAATTCTTCTCCTTCTAGTTAGTCGAAAAAAAGTACTATCGGCATATGCTCTACCTACTATTAACAGGCACCTAATTATTTCTGTGAGTAGAAAGTGACAGTTTTCCACACGCTGTTTTAGATTCTTAGTTCTATCACGACATACTGGATGATTCTGATGCAGTCAAGTGATAGAATATTTAGCAAACTGTACTGAATTATACTTGTTTTAAAACTCTAACTACGAACGTAGACGGTACCTTTAGTACCTCCATACTGGAATAAAATGACTAGGAAAGTAGTAACAGAACCACCAAACTACAAACAAAAAAATATTATAATTATGGTAAAGACACACTGTATCATGTCGCACAGCTGTCAAAATGGATCGGCTAATCTTCATCATTCCAAACGAAGAAAATTTGATCTTTTTGTTCGATATTTGGACTGTGAGGATTTCAACTTGTTCTTTGATATTAAGAGGGAGTGGGGATGTCCACAATTTAAGAACTAGATTTATGGTTTTTTGATACTCATTGACGCCACTTTGGCAGATTTCAACGATCACCATGAGTCGACAAGTGTGGACAAAAATCCACACAAGTTGTAGAAACGTGAAAGGAAGGTAACCACCATTGCAAATTTCTACTAAAAGGAAGTATGGTGTTACTACCAAATGTAGTAAACAGCTGAATAAAATCAACTACAAATGCACATTTAGAAATTTTCTTGATAAAGCATCGCCTTACTAGTGTATGAACTGCACAGAAGTCATTAGTTGCTTCTATGGTGTCATCAATTTCTTCAACTAACTTCATATAATCGGTGAGCCGATCGTATGTGAGTCCTGAAGTGGAAGGTTGATAAAAAAACTACTACAAATTCCAGTACCTGTGGCATTATTGACGGGATGTTCCTGACCAAGTTTTATAATGGGTGCCCATTGTTTGTTCTGGGTTCTTAGTACTTCTTCTAAACCACGTTTTAAAGCTCCGTTTAAATTTTCGATGTTTCGTTTTACCAACCTGGCAAAAAAGTAAAACGGAAATTCTTGGATGAAAACTAGAAAGTACAAAATGTAGAGGGCGGTGTATCGTTTAAAAAAGACACTCATGTCTGATGCATTTATGATCCACAATACCGCGTCATAAGCTAGAACAAAAGCGACAATGGTTAATGAAACTCCCATGTATAAAATAGAACGTTGGCGTTCGTCTGAAGTACGATGGATTGAAAACACTTTTTCCATTTTAGTGAAGCTGTTTAAAATTTTCCAAAAGTATTTCAGTTTAAATGGTGTCGTGAGAACTCCTGTGAAAACCGTAACGACGATTTCTCCCAAATCAACTACAACTATGTACTTAATGAGAGAGTTTTTCATTCTTATGGAGTGTTCGATGGGTAGGTCTTCATTTAGACCTAATAGTGCGAGGACCGCTGCAAGGAAAAAAATGATTTTCTGACAAATTTGTGGTTTTTAATAAATTACTTAAAATTGTAGCCAGGACGTAACTGTAGATTTTGAATTTTAAGGATTCTTCAATGCTGTACTGGGACCCTTTTTTCTCGGATGTTACAGGCAGAAAACCTGCGACTCTTGCTACAACGAGAAGAGGTTCTAACACTTGGAACAAGTCCGTGGTAATCACAGCGTTAGTTTTCATGTTAGAAAGTGGGTGACTCTGGATGCGGTGTCAATTGGTTTTCGGTGGTATTATTCATATATTAATGCAAATCTCGAATATCTATTACATTTTTTGACAAGTAGATTCACGATGATTATTTTATGTCCCATTGTGTGGTTTATTCGAGGGTTGTTAGTGCTTATTAAAAATACATACTTGTGATTGTCCATCATTTACTAGTGTTTATCAAGTTAATGGAGTCTCTGTACAAAAATTTGTTTACTCTCAGCTTATAATGTTTGTAAATTTGTTTCCGCTAAATCTAAACTTTACGTGTAGCTAATAGTCATATAAATTAAACTGATATGATGATGCAGTGTTTTTTAAATTACCGTAAATTACCCTGAAATTTACGAACCTTTTTTGGAAATTTTGTTTGTTTGTGTTTTACTGCAACTGGTTTATTTACTTAAGACAGATTCTCTTAAGTTGTTTTAAAATGATTGAAATTATACTCGAAGACGAAAAATGATGAGGTGTCATAAATCTCAGAAGAGGACTTAATAACTAAAATTAAACGTGGAAAAATTGGTTCAATTGAGGAGTTTTTGTTAAAATAGCTAAGAAGAAATATTAAATCTGATAAGATTACCTAAACAGACAAAATCTGAATTCTAAGATATTAAAAAAATCGTGACTCAGATTACTGACAACACTATACTTGATGAAGAATTAAGTTACGTTCTAAGTAAGCTAGCATTGCTGAATTTTCTTTGCAACGAGGCGTCCAAAGACAGTAACACATTCCAAATAGACACTCAACTTTAAAGGTTATCAGTAAATGCGTAAAAATAATAAGATGTCTGAAGAGCTTTTGATTTTTCAACATAATTTCATAATTTAATTACAATTGTCAGGATATCTTCAAAAGGCAAAACCGACCTTTGCGGACAGCGAGTAACAATTAGGCTTAAGGCTTTTATGCACGTAGATAATCACAGTTAAGCTTAAGGAGCTCAATTACTATTATTAATTGTTGGATTCATCACTGTCTCGCATTCAGTCAAGACTTTTATCATTACGGATATTAAGATCAGGTAGTGGTATGCATTGACGAGATCGTTGAACAAATACGAAGTTCAGGATTGTAGAAGGCGACATACAGATTGGTTTTTCTATACTACACAGACTTATTAGAGGCTTATTTTGTATATCAATGTTTAGTAACAGCATGTTCATGAATCAACACTATCATAATCGTGAATTACAAATTCCCACAGAATCAGTTGCATCGTATGCTGCTACCCTCAAAAACGCGTCTGCCATTGTAGTCAAACCAAAAAATGGAGCTCAAAGTATTGCTCAAACTAAATCTGACATTCTAACATCAATCAGCCCTGGAATTTCTGATGAAATCGGAATTGCGAAAGTCAAACCCATAAAAAATGGTGGTGTATTTTTAAAATGCCAAAACCCTGGTGAATTTAAAAAACTTGCACATGATAACAATTTAAACGAAAATTATGACATTCGTGATGTCAAGACACCCTTACCAAGAATTCGTATTTCAGGTATATCAGAGGATATAAGTGAAGAAATGATAGTACCTTACCTATTGAAACAAAATAAACATATATTTTCAGATAATTCGCAGTGTACTCTCTTAAAATATTTGCCTATAAAAAGACGACGAAACCTACATCAAATAATACTGCAAGTCGACATTTCCTCATATAAAAAAGCACTGAACCTAGGCCACTGTCTAATTGGTTTGGACGGCTGCAATATTTACGATGCTGTAGATGTTTTGCGTTGTTACAAGTGCAATGGTTTTAATCACTCTGTAAAAACTTGTAAGAAAACTCTTTCTTGTCCAAAATGCTCTAAAGAACATGAGTTAAAAGAGTGTAAAGCTCAAAATGATCAATGGAAATGCATCAACTGCTCTAGTATTCAGGCTAGGGATAACTTAAATACAGAACAGATCTCTCATGCTAGCTGGGACTACGAGAATTGTTGTTTTTACAAAAATTTAATTCGGAAAGTAAAATCAGAAGTTTTCGGCTTAAGCGACTTGTAGCAACCAGTCTCTTCAACTGCTTCTCCTCAAACACCAATACCTCCTACTTCCTCGATGGTCTTAAATACGTCACCTGGACTACAACTCCCGCAACCTTATATCTATAATTCTAATCTTATTTGTTACTACCAGAATGTAGGAGGTGTTAATACAAAATTAAAAGACTTATTTCATGCAACAACTCAGGTACCTTACGATATCATCGTACTGACTGAAACGTGGTTACACGATAGTGTAAAAGATGGTGAAATCATTGATTTAAATTCTTACCAGATATTTAGATCCGATCGTAAATTTACTGTTTTAAACTACAGGAGAGGAGGTGGGGTATTATTGGGAATACGACATAATATTAAAGCAATTAATTTAGATGTCTATAGTATTTGTAATGATATCCATAAAGTTCCGACTATCGATGTATTACTGGTAAAGATATTTAATAACTGTCGTTGCACATATATATGTGTTTTATATATTCCGCCATCGTGTCCTACCAACAGTTACTCCATCTTATTCGACTCGCTTATGTCAATGCACGAACTATATGATTCCGACCTGCTCATCTTAGGTGACTTCAATATCCCGGAATTTATTGACTGGTCACATCACCAACCGAGCTCTTCTATCCATGCATCCTATTCATCATTTATATCTTTTTTCAATTTAAGTCAACAAAATCGTGTTACAAATAAAATGAATAGATTGCTAGACCTCGTGTTGTGTAGCAAGCAATGTAAAGTCTCGAAGGCAAACGATTTAATTCTCGCTGAAAATGATTATCATACAGCTCTCGAAATTGTAGTAGAATCGCTCAAGTCAAAAACAACTAAATATTCATCTACTGGTGTTCTTGAGTACAATTTTAGAAAAGCTAGACTACATGACTTGTACAATGAATTGGCACTGGTTAATTGGTCGTTTCTTCTAAATATTTCTGACCCTAACATTTTGGTTTCTTCCTTGCACATGCAGTCTGGCGAAAGTTTAAAAAATATAACAAAAATGACGATTACAATGAGTTTAAACGATTAAGGAGTAAAATAAAAGCTGATATTAAGACTGCCTACTCAGCTTATATTAAAAAATTGAACAACGATATCAAATTTAATCCGAAACGTTTCTGGAGCTACATAAATTCGATTAACAATAGTACATCCATCCCCTCTGTTATGAAGTCTGGTGATGAAATAATTACTCAGCCACAACAAATCGTTGACGCATTTGCGGATTGTTTTTCGGATTCGTTCTCGGTGAATAACTCTTCCGTTATCTCTGATAATAATATTGCGCTATATCCAAAAACCTTACATATAAAAAATAATATTACAGAAGAAGAAATTTTGATGTCTATTTCTAAAATAAAACCTAATTTAATAACTGGACCAGGTTTAATTCCAGCCTTTATTGTCTCAGACTGTAAATCGGCTTTAGCTTATCCTCTAAAAATAATTTTTAATCAAATACTCAAAACAAGTACCTTTCCTTCTGACTGGAAAATTGCTCGTGTTTGTCCAATTTTCAAAAAAGGTAATAGGTCCCAAGTAAAAAATTACAGACCTATATCTATAATTAATAACTTTAGTAAAGTCTTTGAACTTATAATGCATGAAAGGATGTCCCGTCACATTTTCAATCAGGTTTTTTTATGTCAGCATGGTTTTGTGGCAAAAAGATCAACGGTCACAAATTTAATATCTATCACGCAATTTCTTTGTGAACATATCGATCAGGGAAAACAGGTTGATGTATTGTATGCCGATTTGTCGAAGGCTTTCGATCAAGTCGATCACAATTTGCTTATAGCTAAATTGGAACACTTCGGGTTGTCACAGGATTTATTGAATCTGATATCATCATATCTGTATGATAGATCTTCATATGTACAGTACCGGGGTTATAAATCTAAATTATTTAAACAAATTTCGGGCGTTCCTCAAGGATCTGTTTTGGGACCTTTGTTTTTCATTGTGTATATAGACGACTTATCTTCGAGACTAAACATTCCTCATTTACTTTATGCGGATGATTTGAAAATATATTGTCAAGTTGATACGCTGGAAGACTGCATTAAACTGCAGGGTAACATCGATATACTTCAACGGTGGTGTACTGACAACAATTTGCTTTTAAATGGAGAAAAATGTTTTACTATAAGCTTTACTAAGAAAACTGATGTTCTACTTTTCGATTATTCTGTAGATGGTACAATAATTAATCGTTCCGACACTTTTAAAGATTTGGGCGTAACTTATGACAACAAGCTCACATTTAGGTATCACATAGAAAATACAGTTTCTTCAGCTTGTAAAGCTCTTGGTTTTATATTACGCAACGGTAAATATTTGAACAGCGTCGATACTCTTATTCTATTATACAAAACATTGGTTCGATCTCGCCTGGAGTATGCCAGTGTTGTGTGGTCGCCTATCCATCAAATACATATCTCTAGTCTTGAAAAAGTTCAGCGACGGTTTGCTAAATTCATCTTCTTCGTTTCTAACAACCAATATCCTGAGAGAGGTTATCCACATGATATTTTACTACAAGAAGTTCAACTGCCTCAGCTAATTAAAAGAAGAAAATATTTTTCGTTAAAATTTTTAACACAAATATTAACGAATAAAATCGATAGTCCTTATTTATTGTTGTGGCCGCCTGGAAGTAGGCAACCAGTTATACATACATAATGCAGCCCCCGGATTGGCAGTTACAACGCGCAAGCCTAAAGAGGAAACGCCACGGTGGAAACGTAAAACAGACTCTCTTCTTCTCCGACCACTCACCGTGTGTAGACGTCCTCTTCTCCTCCGACCACTCACCGTGTACAGACGTCCTCTTCTTCTCCGACCACTCACCGTGTGCAGACGTCCTCTTCTCTTCAAGACCTCCACGTGGACATACACATACAACCTTGGGCCGTGTTATCATTTTTGTAGTTGGTATTGTAAATAAACCTGTA